TGCTTAGGGTTATAAACAAATAAGCTCTTCATCCAAACAAGTCAAGCTTCAATTGCATTTTAAAGTTTGTTTGAGTTTGATTTGATTAGATTTGATTTGAGATTGACTTGGAAGATAAAATTTAAGTTTTATATTCATAAAACATTAAGTTCAAGTTTGGCTATTTTAAATAAGTACACACTTTTTATTTTTTTATTTTTTTTTTCATCATATCATCTCTCTATTTTTCTGTACATTTTTTTGTAAAAAGATAAAAAATACATTTATTTAAGTCATCCCAAACAACCCCTAAATATTTTTTTTGGCACCCACAACAAAATTTGTGATTTTTATTTTTGTTTTTTTGTGCCATTTTGGCAACTTAACAAAAAGCCAGCGTTTTGAGCATTGCAACAAAAACGCCAGCCATGCAAAAACGCCAAGAAGCCCATTTGGGAAGACAAAAAACGCAACACCCAAATTTACCAAATTACCCTTAGAATATTTTAATTAATTAATTTAAAAATAAAAAAGTGAGGATATTTTGGTCATTTTGGAGTGATGTGACACTTTTAAAAAATATTAAATTAAAAATAAAAAAAGTCAACTTTTTACTAACTTCTCAAATTACTTCTAAAAAAGCCAAAAAAATTTAATAAAAAGTCAAAAGCCAATTTTTTACTAACTTTCCAAAACAGCCCTTTGTATCTTGTTGCATATCTTGTTGCAGTGGTTGGAAGTGACGCATCGATGTGGGGACAAGTTCACAACTAACATTTAAGACTGGTTTGACAATTCAAAAAAAAGGTAAAAAATTATTAAAAAAATTTAAAAATTATTATTATTCATAAAAAAATATATATATAAAAAAATTAATATACATAATATTAAATATCAATCAACTTCACGGCAGTCTATGTACAAACCTGAAAAAGCATAGGAGTGAAAGGAAAAAAATAAAACATTATGTGTATTTTCATTAAATTGGATGGTAGAGTTAGGCTCGTGGAGGCCCATCACGGGTCTCATTTTTCTAATCAGAATCGTTCAATGTGTAGAACTCGTCGAGTGTTATATGCCTGTGAAAAATCATGTCTATCGGATATCACTAATTATATGATCAAATCAGTTTTGTATAAAAAATGGATGGTGTTATAGTTAACATGTGAAAAAAAAAACTAACACGATCATATAGCTATCGATATCCAATGAATGCGATTTTTTACAAAATATAATGCTCGATGAGTTCTACACATTGAACGGTTCCGATTAAAAAAAGGGACCCGTGATAGGTCCACACGGCTGAACAACACCGTCCAATCAAAAGCCGAAAAGTAGACAATCTTTTTTCATATCCTTTTCAGCCGAGGCACTACCCAACAGTACGGATTCATTAATTATCTTGTCTTATACACTTATTTACACAATATTTTAATACATAATTTTTTTATAAAAAGTTAAAAAATTAACTTAAACATTCATATTTTTTTCTCAATTTTTTAATTCAAAAAAATAAAAATACACTTATTTAAAACATCCCAAACAACCTCTTAATTCCAAATGACCTCTAGTCTTTGAGATTATATGTTTCTCACGAGTAAGGATCATCTAGAGTAATTTTTCCCTAAAGTTTTTTAGAGTGCTACATTATGTGGTTGAAATTTACTGGCAAGTCACATCAGAAAAATTGATTTGATTTGTCAGTAAATCTCAACCACATAATATAGCACTTTAGAAAACTTTAAGAAAATTTCACTCTAGTGGATCCTTGGTGGTTTCTCACCGCTATTCACTTGTTTATCTCTCACGTACTTGTAATATAGGTAGCAGTGAAGTTGTAAAATACATTCTAACAATATTCAAAATGATTTTTTTAACTCAATTATGTTTCTAGTTAGACAGAGAGTGAGAGTAAGATATTTTATGATACACGGCTCCTTTTATGTCTCATTTATGATACTTGTAATGTTTAGTTACGACATATTATAGTATTAACTATAAATTAATTATAGTTTATTGTTGTTTTAATTATAATTTATTATGTAATTAGTTATAATTTATTGTGATTATTATTTTTAATTATGATTGAAAATATTTTTATTTATACGTTATACCTTATGTATTGTTTAATAATGACTTATTATTTTTTTAATTATGACGGAAAAATATTTAATTATGACAAATTTTTTTAAATGTGTATTCTAACATGGCCATATATTTTAATCTCCAATGACTTAACTTTTGTCTTAATGTAAGAATTTAGTGCAAGAAGTTAATAGGTGTGTTAATTATGATGAGCCTCTTGAACCTTCACTTTCCCTCTCTCATTCTCTTCATTTTTATTTTTGTCTAGCACACAATAAAAGACTTGTACCAAACACAGGGATTTGCACTCTCATAAAAAATGAGATTTTTTTTTTTTAAAATGTCCAACTAAAATGTAATTTCTTCTAAAATAAAAGGTAGTGTTGAAGGATATAAATAAATAAATAAATAAAAAAGTTATCATGCACAATGAATTTGTGTGTGTTGATGAACTATTTTTGTTAGACAAAATAACCAGTAGATTGGAGTTGCTCATAAACTCTTCAAATGTTGAAAATTTGAAAGAGATTACCTATAACTTGACTTTTAAATAGTCTATTGTTGGGTCATAATTAAAGTCTTGTTGTCAATAGATTAAAAAAATCAAAATGTTATTATAAATCGTTATATTGTTTTCTTTATTTTTACATATATATATTTTTTTAAAATTAAAAAATTAATTAAAATAGTTAATTCTCAGAATGGTCATAAGTCAAGGTTAGCTAAATGTATACCTAATTTAAATTTTTTAAAAAGACAGTTGAAAATATTCTTATACAGCAACTCTAACACTAATTTTTATTTTTCACAAGCAAAAGTAAAAAAAAAAATATACTCTTTATTTTTATTGGGGCTCGTTTGGGAATTGAAAAAGGGTCCAGCTTGTCTCAAGTTGAGATCAAGACTGGACCCGTCCAATTCGGCTCTGGAGCCTATTTTTTGAGCCCGTTTTGATAATCCGAACCGTTTAATATGTAGAACTCTTCGAGTACTACATACTGACAAAAAATCACGTTGATCGGATATCAATAGTTATCTGATCAAATCAGTTTTGTATAAAAAAATGGACTGTGAAACAATTAACGGTTGATAAAAAACTGTTTTGTTCACATAACTATCAATATCCGATCAACATGATTTTTTACAAGCATATAGTACTCGATGAGTTCTACATATTGAACGGTTCGAATTATCAAAACGGGACTCGTGGTGGGCCCCCACGAGCCCAACAGTATGGTCCAGTCCGATCTTGGACTGGACTAAAGCCACTGCCATTGAAAAAAATGTATAAAAAACATATAAAAAGTTATATGATAATTTATAATGACTCTTTAATCATTTTTTTTTATCCATATGCTCCAATGATACCTTTTATTTTATATGTATATTCATACAAACAGTTGAAAAAGGTTCAGAAGACTCCCCACATAATAATGGCCCTGTTTGGTACAGCTTAATTTCAGCTTATTTCAGCTTTCAGCTTAATTTAAGCTATTTTGATGTGTTTGGTTTAGCTTATAGCTTATAGCTTATAGCTTTGTGGAAGTCAGAAAACAGCTTATTCTTTGAGTGGGGCAGGAGATGCTTTAAGAATAAGCTGGAAATCAGCTTAAGCTGAAAGTTATAAGCTATAAGCTGTTTAGGCATAAGCTATCAGCACTTTCCCACAGCTCTACCAAACAGGGCCAATATAAGGGTAAATTATGAATAAGTCTTAATAGTTGGATTTAATTCCCATTAAATTTTATTGAAAATAAATCTTGATAAAATTATCACTAAAAATAATGTTTTGTGATATTTTTTACAAATGTTACTAAAAATTAACAATTAGTGTTTTTTTTTTTTTTGTCGTAGATTTTATAAATTATTGCTAAAACTTATAGTTAGTGATTTTTTTTTTATGACGAATTTTTAAACTTTCAGTGAAAGTTAAACATTAGTGACTTTTTTGTGATGACATTTTTAAAATGCTGTTAAAACTTATAATTGATAATACTTTTTGTGACAAAATTTTTAAACCGTCACTGAAGATTAACAATTAATGACGATTTTATTTTTAATAATATTTGATAAAAAAATGTCATTAATTATTATAGTACCTATTAGGCAATAAATCAATCTATTAAGATTCACAAATAAATTTTCCCAAATATAATTAGCATGAAAGAGTTTTGTTAAAATAATTAATATTATAATAACTATTCTGTTCTATCATGTAAAATGGGGTGAAATTGGCTATAATAATTAAGGAGTTGTTTGGGATGACCTAAATAAGTATATTTTTTGTCAAAAAAGTAGAGAGATGATGTGATGAAAAAAAGATAAAAAGATGAATTATTTTGTAATTGCCAAACTTGGCCTAAAAGACTTATTTTAAATGGTTGGCTGGAAATGCTTTTACAAATTATTTATTCAAAAATACCTTAAATAGTTTAGGCCACAAATAAAAATATGAAGATATCCTAAATTGATTTGGCTAAAAAAAAAGAGTAAAACAAAAATATCTTAAATAGATTTGACCACGAAAACAAAAACAAAAACATCTTAAAATATAGGCCACAAAATTAAAAAAATTTATATATATCCTAAACAAATTTGGCCACAAATAAAAATAGAAAATAAAAATATTTAAAGGTAAAATAATTCGACGGCGAAACCCAATCCTGACTGATTATGCCCGAAGTTATGGAGGCCCCACAATAAGCCACGTCAAACCATACCACCCACTCATTTTCCATATCACATGGTCTGAACCTATCCAAGTGACATTATCATGCCACGTCACGGAATCATATCTTCATCTCTCGCTCTAGGATGACACGTCATTGCCCTAAATCGAAATAAAAAAATAAAAAAATATCTTGCATCGAACAAAGGAAACAGCTACACAAAGCCGAACCTCTTGTTCCCTCACACGACGACACCTGGCACCTATTTAAACCGTTTTCTAGGCTCGGACTCTCTGCTCTATCAACAAAGTTCACAATTTTCTCTCCGAAGCTATTGTCGAAATTTTCTCTCTCTTTCTTTTCTCGGCCTTTTTCTTTCCTCTTCCTCCTCCTGTGTTTCAGAAGTGGATTTAGAGAGCGTAGGGAGATGAAGAGCTGTGAGCTATGCAAGTCGGGTGCGAGGATGTACTGCGAGTCAGACCAGGCGAGCTTATGCTGGGACTGCGATGCCAAGGTTCACTCAGCCAATTTCCTCGTCGCTAGGCATTCGAGGAGTTTGCTGTGTCACGTTTGTCAGTCTCCGACTCCGTGGAATGCTTCTGGTGCGAGAGTCGGCCGGCCTGTTTCGATGTGTGAGAATTGTTTCGCAGTGAAGCACAACAGAGTCCAGGAGGAAGAGAACGAAGGAGATAACTGTAATGAAATTGATACTGAAGAGGATGAGTATGGAGATGATGAGAAGGAGGACGTTGATGATGAGGAAGGAGATAATCAGGTGGTACCGTGGTCACCGACTCCTCCTCCTCCTCCGGCTGAGAGTTCCTCAAGCAGTGAGGAGTCCTCGAACAGGTCCATAAATGGCGATGGAGTTGTTTCACTAATTGTAAAATGGTGATCGGGGTTGATCCCTGAAATGAATAAAATATGGGTTGTTATGTAAATCCAAATGGCTTTAAGGTACAAGATTGAGCAGAAAAATGAGATGGAAGTTTTTTTTTTTTTTTTTTTTTGTTTTTTTTTTAAATTGATGAAAAAAGAAAGATAAAATAAAATAAAATAAAATAAAATAAAATAAAATAAAAATAGGGGTAGTGGAAATATATTATATTAAAATAAAAGAAAAGTGGGTGGATGAGTGTGATGAAAAAAGGAAAAGTGGTAGTTCATAGAGTGGGAGTATTATATGAGAAGAAACATATACATATATATATATTAAAATAAAAGAAATCGGAGTGGGCTTGGGCGGTGTGAAGGGACCAGAGAGAGAGAGTAAAGGGCATTGGTTAGTGCAATTGCTTTAGTGAAACAACTCCATCGCCATTTATGGACCTGTTCGAGGACTCCTCACTGCTTGAGGAACTCTCAGCCGGAGGAGGAGAGTAAAAAAAAAACAAACATACCCACACCCACAGTGGGATTTTTCTTCTCTACTCTGCTACAGGTCTCTTCTTCTTGCCTCCGTCTTGGCCAGTCCTTGACGGTGCTACCTCTGTGCCTCCCACTCCACTGGGCACGATCACTACTCCCTGCTCCTCCACTGCAGCATACGGCGGACCTCCAAATCGGAACATCACGGTGGCCTTCCGCTTCAGCTCTGATTTTCTGCATGGATGCTCTGATACCATGTTAAAAAATACTGTATTATTGATTGATATTGATTTGATTATTGATAACAAGATTGATTAATTACAATTCCTATACAATCTATATATAGAAGAAAATGTGGTAGTAGGTGTAGTGGAGGTGATAGTGGGTTAGGTGAAGTGGAGTGTGTGGTGAAGTGGAGGTAGGTGAAGTGGAGTGTGTAGTGGAGTAGGTGAAGGTAAAGATGAGAAATTCTAACAGCCCCCCGCAAACTCAAGGAGGAGAGAAACTAACCAACTTGAGTTTGGAGAGAGTAACAAAACAAGAAAATACATAAAAATAAAAAAAGGATAGGAGACACTGTATGGTCGTGTCAGACCATTGGTGAAGACACTGGATGGTGGTGTCATAACGTTGTAGAGGACACTGTATGGGGGTGTCATAACGT